CTTTCAACTTTGTAAGTGAATCTTCATATTTTAAAACTATATTTTTTCCCTATAAATACAAATCTTTCTATGAAAATTTTTTAATAGTATTTTCATAGAAAGATTTATACGTGATACAATTTTTGTGTGGAAGACTAGAGAAGCTTTAATCAAGTGAAGAAAATTTCAAGGCAAAAATGATTTCTGTCAAGATTACAAGGCGTAATGTGATTATAGGGATGAATAACACTTCAATTACTAGAATATCAGAGTTTGATGTATTTGTTTTTGTAATTTGTTGAGATTAGAACTATGATAAGACCCCTCCATTTATATAGTTGAATGTCGCTTTCGTTAACTTGTCTTCCAAAACTTTTAACTTTTTTTTATGGTCAAAGGTTGAATCTTTATTACTATAGCTTTTTTTCAATTTGCATTATCAATAAAAAAAATAGGGAAAGGAATGTCTTCAATTTACATTATCAATTTGCATTTTCGTTCGTAGTCTTATGCTAAACTTGCTCCCATATTTGATTTTTTTTTTTGTATTTGTAATTTTATTTTAAGAATGTATTTGATTGAATGGTGTATTTTCGTATGAATTTTTTAATACTTAGTCATAATGATTTTTCATTACAGATTTTGTAACGACCTGTTTAGTCGTTTTGAGCAGCAGATTTTATTTCTGGAAAAACTGGCTGAGACGACGGATTCCACGACGGACCGTCATGGGCACGACGGACCGTCGAGGGGGTCTCGTTCCAAAACACTTAGAATTCTGAAATTTGGGTACTGAAATCGACTCTCTGAACTTCGTGACGGAATGGCAGGACGGACCGTCACAGGCGTGACGGGCCGTCACAGACCCTTCAAAGAATTGAGTCTCTGAACTTTGTGACGGAAGCAGCAGGACGGACCGTCGCAGGCACGACGGGCCGTCACAGACTGCGTAATCCCAGGCTGGGTCGGATTTCTGTTAAATGTTTTAAGGGGCGTTTTGGGCTATTCCTGCTTATAATTATAAAGTTAGTGGTTGAATATTAATAATTCAATTTCTTGAGGGTTAAAAGAGATAACCTTGAATCAATTAATTGGGTTAATTCATCAACTTTTATACTTAATTATATGTTAATTAGGGTAAAAGAAAGAGGGTTTGAATAAGAAAAATAGAAAGAACAAGGAGAGGGAAAGAGAACGATCGAGAGAAGAGGGAAACGAAGAGGAAACAAAGCTTTGGGAAATTGCTTGCTTGATCACGAATCTTCGGTGGAGGTAGGTTATGGTTTATGCTATTCGTAGTAAACTCTTAATAGCGAATGATATGTATTGGGTAGTGTTGTAAACCCTTCTATATGCTTAATTGTATGCTTGCATGAATGTGATTATATAATTGTGATAAAATAAGCATGATGAAGCTATTGAATCCTAAATCTTGAAAAACCCTAATCTACTTTGGTAATGATGATGCATTGGTATAAAAGAAGGCTTGATGAACGAAAGTAGTGAGATTAGGGGATCGGGTGCCACGTTCCGGTACCAGGATAGAATATGGATAGGGTGTCACGTTGCGACACCAGGATAGTATGATGAGGATCGGAGTGTCACGTTCCGACACCAGGATAGAATATGGATCGGGTGTCACGTTCCGACACCAGGATAGAATATGGATCGGGTGCCACGTTCCGGTACCAGGATAGTATGATGAGGATCGGAGTGTCACGTTCCGACACCAGGATAGAATATGGATCGGGTGCCACGTTCCGGTACTAGGATAGTATGATGAGGATCCGAGTGTCACGTTCCAACACCAGGATAGAATATGGATCGGGTGCCACGTTCCGGTACCAGGATAGTATGATGAGGATCAGAGTGTCACGTTCCGACACCAGGATAGTATATGAGGATCGGAGTGTCACGTTCCGGCACCAGGATTAGTAAAGAGAATGAATCTTGAAATATGTTAATATACTCAATTTAATGAACCTAATTCCCAAATGAGTATGATGGGGAGGCGTGAGTCCTCATTGATGTGTTTGGTGTTGTGACCAAGGGTTATGGTAAGTGTAAATGCCGCATGTTGAGTATTGTAGTTGATTTTATGATATTATCTGATATATACTGTTTTCTATTTTGAGTTGGCCGATGATATCTACTCAGTACCTGTGTTTTGTACTGACCCCTACTTGTATGTTTCTTTCTTTGTTATTTGTGGAGTACAGCAAACGTACCGTCGTCTTCAACTCAACCGCAACTCTAGCCAGTCTTCATTACACCGGATTTCAGGGTGAGCTAACGCTTCTAGCTTGGACTGTATCTTCTTCTTCATGTCTTGATGCCTTGAAGTTCCGGCATGGACTAGCTTTTTATTTATTCTAGCTTTCTAGATACTCTTAGAATTAGTGATTTGAGGATAGATGTTCTTGTGATGATGACTTCCAGATTTTGAGAATAATAAGTATTGAGTTTTTAGAAGTTATTTAATCGATTTTCATTAATGAGTTTAAGTCTTCCGCATTATATTATGTTATTTATGGTTGAAATGTCGGGGTTTAGATTGGTTGGTTCGCTCACATAGTAGGATAAGTGTGGGTGCCACTCGCGGCCCGCTTTGGGTCGTGACAGATTTAGTATATTTGAATTCTTTTATATATTTTATTTTTAGATTACAGTTTTGTTTACATAGTACATTTAAATTTTATAAATTGTTTAATAAATTAAATATTAATAGTAAATAGTAAATAGTAAATCATCATATTAGTATACATAACTTACCATCAACTTGTAAATGTATGTATCTCTCACTAATTATATTCATTATGTTCATTACTCTCATTTCTCATCGATAATCTCAAATGAATTAATATTTATTTATGTCAACTCTTTGTATTTCTCAATGCTATCCAATAATAAATAGTGACATTTTACACAATAATATATAAACTTAAACCAATTGAAGAAAAAAAATGAGAAAATCTCTATGCTCTCTTTTCTCGTCTGTTTTTATTTATTTAGTTTAACATTTATGTTTCTTGCTTGTTGTTATTGTACAACGTACTTTATATTGTTGTGTTATTATTATTGATAATTTACTACGGCCTGTTGCTTTGTATACATTAACCTATCATGTTGTATTTTAATATCTTCATTGGAATATTGAATTTGTGTGATAGTTTTTTTTTTTTTTTACTTTATGCACTTTTAGTCAATTTTATAATTAAAGATATAATATTTTTACTAGGAAGATATATGTAGTTTCTATCGAAACAATGATAAATTTTACGATACAAAATTTATATGAAGTATCTTGGGATAAACGTGCAACGCACGTTCCTAAATCTAGTTATATTATAAGTGGGAAGCCTCTTAGCTCAAAGTTGAATTACGAATTTGCCCTTCACTTGAACATTATTTGAATATATATAATATTATATGAAAATAAAAACATAATATTATAATTTTTAATTACTTGAAAAATAAATTCACATTTCAATTTCAATAATTAGGATAATTGAAAAGACAACAGTCTGAAACTTACATTTAAATAACCATGAATAGGATAAGCAAAAAAGCAATTGAAAATAATAAATCTTCTTCCAAGTGAATAATGAAATCATTTCATCTTCATATACATTTCAAAAGGCATGGAAGATATAGGAACACTATTTTAGTTAAGAAACAGAAGACTCTAAGACAATCATATGAAGTGTGGTGTCTGCAGCAATTTCTCGAAAACGACAACGGCGAAGAATTGATTTTGTGTTCCTAGAAATCTCATAGTCCTCCGCCATCCCCTGCCCTTCAATAATTTTTTTTTTAAATCGGAAGGTTTCAAATTTTTAACAATATTTCTTTGTTGTCCCTCTCTCTCTCTTATTGTAGAATATGTCTCTTTTTAAATTAATGATGCAATTTGAAGTGTTCTTGGAATTCAAGATATATAGATTTATCCGAGTATTTTTATAACGTAGTTTCAGTCAGGATATTCACTGGGTTTTTTTCCTTTCTCTATTTTATTAATCTTTATTTGTTCCTTTTACTCCTTTTTATTTTTTTCCTTAGTTTTTCATTTTTTAAAAGGTGAAATTTCAACAATAAATATGATGAAAGTATATAATTTACAGGTAATAGTAAAATAATTTTACCTTTGAAGATCACACAAGATATTTATTGGAGCTATAATTTTTTTTATGCAATATATTTATTCTCTTATTTTCGCGTATGAGCTTTTAAATCGTATAAATCATCATTTCTCTTATAAGATTAAGATTTTAGTTAGAGAACACATTTTAATCATTCTATGTCTTAGATATTATTTTCTCTTTAGTTTGAATTTGTAATATTTTTTTCTTCAAATTATACATGACTCATCACAAACGTGTTTATAATGTTGTTATTGAATCGTTTGTTTTTCTTATTTTGTTAATTTATTTTCTGTTTTGTAAAAAATTAAATTTGAAAATGAAAACATATTTTTTATTTTTTACTATTCGAATGAGTGTTGAATTTTTCATGAATACTGGAGCATCATATCATTAAAAAGTAACACAAATATTGCTATATTTTATATAAATACAATAAAATATACTCATATATAGACCCGTGGACTTATCACAAGTAATTGCATTTTCAAGGCAATCTTATTATATTGTTGTTAAACTTTGATTTTTAGGTGCTTTATAGAAAAATAAGTCATTTATTTGGTACATATTTTAGGATCTTTTTGTTGTAGTATGCAGAATATGTAATTGAAATTTATATTTCTGATAAAGTTGTCTCACGCCTTTGTTATTTCATTTAAGACATTAAATACATTTTTATTATTATTTTTCAATCAATTATTCATAGATATTTTTTTAAAAGCGATTCATAGACATATTTTACATTCAGGTTTCACATATTTCTGGTTTGATAGCAAATGCATCATTCTATTTTATGAGTTATTCTAATGAATAAAAAATAATTAGTAAAATTAATATTGTTAATTTCAATATTTTATATCTTATATCTCACTTATAAAAAAAATTGTAATAATAGTAAGAGATAAACGTGTTGAGAGTTTTTTTGTTGTTTAGGGATGGAGTTGGCAAGCAAAGTCGGAGACGCAGTAAGCAAAGCGCTGAACAGCAACAAAGTGTTGAATGTAGTGTTAATGAGTGCATTTGGATTGCTATGTATGAGATCAGTGCAGCAACAGAAGAATATGGAAGTTCTTGAAGCAGAAAAGGACTCTTTGCTCAAATCTAATAAAGCTATGAAGAAGGATATGTGGGATTGGAAGCAGCAGCTTTTTGCTGAAGCTGAGTTACCCAATCCACTTATTCCACTCTCTAAGATTAAAGCCATTTATGGAGACGTTCAAACCACCACATCGACTTCTGGTATGACTTTTTTCCTGTTTCTTTCGGAATCATAGCATTTGGGTTCTCTGGGAATTGCAGAAATTAGCTTTACTGCAAATGATTTTGTGGGTTTGGCTTGTTTGGATTTGGGTATCAATGATTTAATCTGTACTTTGCTCTATCAAAAATGGTCACTAATTAGAGGAATAGGGCTGAAAGAAATTTAAGGCGGTTTGGGTTTAGTCTGATGTTAGGGTTTAGTTTAGTCTGATGTTAGGGTTTAGGGTTTTACTTCCCATAAGTTTGCTGGGTCAACTTGTTAGATAAATTATGATTACAAATTTGAGGGATTGAGATTTGGTTGGTTACTGGAAATAAGAACTTGATGGGGTTTCCATTGTAAGTGTCCCGGTTTTGCTGCTTCAAAGAGTTAAGATTTCTGTATTAGATCAGGTCTGATACAAGTATTCATTTGGTTTTGTGGCTGTTATTATATTCAACGAAATTTTACGTGGACAGGTGGAACTTAGAGGTTTATCCAAGATATAGCAAGGTCTAGACTTGAGCTAGTTACTAAAAGGATTATAAATATAGCAGCACTTACCAAGGATAAGTTCTTTTAGAAATCTCAGGTGGATGAACCCTAGTTTGCTTTATAGAAATGTGATTACTTGAAATTGTATGGGTGCAAGAGCTGATGAAGCAAGCGCTCACCTGGTGTCGTAGCCCCTATTGATATAGTCTTTTGCTACAAACAGTCAAAGCTGTATGATGGTGGAATGGAATTTCATAGAAGTAAAAACCAGATGCATTTATAAGTGTATCATTTCTACATGTATAGATGAGTGGGTGTTATTTGTAGAAAATCATTTCCTCTTGAAAGGTTTTCTACTTTTGGTATACTTGTCGTATATGGGCAAAGCTTTTACCCTTTTCTAATGAAATTGATTAGTTCAACAAAAAATTAAAATTTAGTGTATCATTTCTTTATAACTATATTAGACTGTTAGTGGGTGAATGTTGTTCATTCCATTAATTGGATCTTTCGCCTGCTCTTGCAGCATTATCCATGTCCTTCCTTATCATCGTTCATCATATGCCACTTTTGGTGTTCCTTTGCATTTATTGAAGTAAATCTCTCTGGACTATCATTTATTCAAGAATCAAGATGTTGGGAAGCAAAATTCTTCAAGCTTTATGATAAAATAGTAAACACACCATTCGTGTAACTAATGAAATGATAAATTCAAGTAATGTTTCTGCAAAAATTGGTTAAATTACCAAATAAAGGGATTCTGCTATTAGAAGTCGTATATATGACGTATTAGAAAAGATAATCAAAGTACGAAATTTTGTAGTATTACCTCTGCTTAATGTTACCATTTTTGAAATAATAAAAACCCACTTAACTTATAATGGTTATCTTTCTATTATTTTATACTGTTTAATTTTTGCTTCTCTAGAATCGGACCATTGAGAATCTTCCAAAATTGCAAAACCTTGATAATCTTTTCCTCTCCCTCCTTTCTATTCTCCTTCACATATTACAATTCTTTTAGACAGTTTTTGGTGATCATCCACTCCGCTGATTAAGCCTTTCTTCATCAATAGAGAAATCATGTCATTGTACACCAAATTATGTTTCTAGCTACGGACAATCATGGAGCATTAGCAATAGGTGGACGATAAGTCAAACAGGGAGTCTCTTGCCTTTTCGATATTTTAACAGACACAAGATATTTGAGAATTCTGACTCAACAAGAAAAAACAAGAAGAATTTTCAGAGCACACAAGATTATAGCCTAGTAGTATATGAAGTGGGTGGAAACCTTGGGAGCAGGGTTCAAGTTCCAGCAATGACAAAAATCAACTTGTTGGCAGATTTATTCTATACTTGTGCGCTGGTGGGAATCATGTACCCTGTGGTAGTAAAGCTGTAGAATAATTGGTCCAAACACCACCATTATAAAGAAAAAGAGAAAAACAAGATTCATGATGGGCCTAGATTCCTCATTTGACATTAACACCAGAAAGGTAGACATTGCCGATAAATATGGAGATTCATTGCGAAGAGTCCAAATGCCCTGCTAGAAAATGCTCAATAGTCTACAAAGCCAGTCTTTTAAAGAAACCTCTCCTAACAGAAAATGCAAGTGTCATTAATGAAAAATTGTGATAGATGAGAGTTGTACCATCCTTAGGATAAAGTTCCTCAAAAGATGTCTAGTAGGAACATCCTAACATGTTAACACATGCGCTTAATGGAGTGGTTGACTCCAGGAGGTAGGGGAAGTTGGAAATGTTGAGCATATTAGACTTCGACAGCTCATATGATCATGTGAATTGGGAGTTCTTGGATTTCATAACGCTGTAGACAGGATGTGGATTAAGTTCTCCCTTTCAAGGACCAGATTCTCAGTCCTAGTGAATGGTAGACTTTTGGGAAAAAAGAAAAAGTTGTGAAGATCTTCTCAATATTTTATTGCTGCAATGGTTTATAAATTCATAGCTTATTTGCAAAATGTAATAAAGTACCACATGAAATTTTTTGATGAAGTAATAATAGATTTCATTACTGGCATCAAGAAGATGCAAAAACATACAGAAAACCTTTGTAGCTGCATTACATAAAGAACTATGCTAGTGCCAGGGAGCTAACAAAGTTCAAAAAGGTTTCAGATAATAGATTTCATTACTGGCATCAAGAAGATGCAAAAACTTACAGAAAACCTTCGTAGCTGCATTATATAAAGAACTATGCTAGTGCCAGGGAGCTAACAAAGTTCAAAAAGGTTTCAGGGTAATCTACCAGAGAAGTAGTTTTCCACATAAATAGAAACATCAGCCATTGGGCCTTGATGTAATAATTTGGAGTTGACGAACCATCAAAACATCTTTCTGTTCCTCTTTGTCCACATACTTGCAGGTATCATTTCCAGATTTCCTTGATGGCCTTATCAACTTTCCAACTACTCCAACCTTCATTGGCCTCTTAACTGATCTGTGGGTTGCGCAGCTGAGACCAAAAATAGAGTAGAACAAGCACCATATGTGACTAGCAATTTTGCAGTGGAGGAATAAGTGACTGTTGGTTTCTATCTCCTGTTGACACATGTAGCATCCGTTGACTATTTGGTCGCTCCTTTTCTCGAGATTGTCTTGGGTGAGGCATGCTTTATAGTGTCCAGCAGAAACATTTAATTTTTTTGGGCAGCTTAGACTTCCACGGCCAGTAGTTAATCAAATTATTTGTAGCATGAGTTTGCATAACCCGCTTTACCTGAGTACCTGCCATCATTTGCACTGCCCCATCATAACTTATTTGCTGCCTGCAAATTCAATCTGTATCCTTCCAGCCTGGAGATTCCTTTTGGAAAGAAGTTGCTGGTTTTGCCTTCTTTATTCTGAGAGATATGGAGTTTGGCTCACTAGAATTTGAAAAATGTTGTGGAATTCATCCTTGAGGATTGTGTTGTTTAACCAATATCTTTCCTGAATGTGGTGTGTAGACCATTGCCTGGTATTAATTGTGTTCTCTGGAAAGAGTTCCTCCTTAAGCTTGCTATACTCAAATATTTTGTACATAAATTCTTAGCTGAAGGTGTAACATTTATCAATGTAAAACCAGCCTATCACTTTATGAGATCCCGATCCTGCGAGTTTCAAACTGTGGGGAAGGGTAGAGGGACAAGCACATTGTCCACCTAGTTCCATACCATGCATCGTTGACCCTTGGGATTTCTTGGTTATAAGAAAAGAACCTTCTGTTCTTTTTGTTTTCTCGAACTCGGTTTAGTTCTTTTTAGATTTAAATCTTGTGAGTCTGGTGATAGCAAAATTCTTGTAGGCTGTAGCCACTTCTAAATATCTCCTCTTTAAGAGTTTGAGATTTCAAAACTATATTTAGTTCTATCTCTCTTTTATGTATTTTAGGAGATCATGTGCTAACATTTCTATATGATAAATGAAGGACTATGCATTGTACGTTGAATTTTGCAGTAAAAGAATAGTTGGATTTGTGCCACAAATTTGAGCAAGCCAAGATAATCTATGAGTAAATATTTGATTGATGCAAGTTTCTCTTACAAGGCAATCTTAGCAGAAAGACCCCCATTAGTGGCCTCAGTCGAAATGATTAAGAGGATGTGGAAGTTCTCTTTTTCTCTTTGTCTAACAATGACTGGTTGATTGAGAAATCCTGTATAGTGTGTTTTTCTTGGGGTATACCTTCCCTGGGTAAGAAGAGCTAATGATCTCGCTAATACAACAGAGGCAAAAGTTAGATAGAATTTGCATAGAACTTCTCTGAGAGAGAAGAAAAAGTTGTGAACATCTCCCCGATATTGATTCCTGGAGGGTTTTAGCTTCTGACCATCACAATTATTATGTTAGAGACCAAGTATAAACTTGGGCTGAATTGCTTAACTTGTATTTACAGGAAGTAATACATAAAGTTTTCTGTCAATAGCAAAGTTATTCTTCACATAGGATATTTTGGGTAGGAAAAAAAGGGAAAATGGGAGAATAACACACCAGAAAAGTCAACTCAAAGATGGCTTCTGCCTTCTGAGGTAGAATTGGTGGACTGAGACGTCGATGCTAGTGATGGCACTTGAAAGGCTTTTAACGCTGTTTTTTTAAGAAGCAGAATAAAAGTTTGACCTTAAGGGCATCAGATGCTAGTGGCCCTTTCAGGAAGGTGGTGAACACTGAACAAACCCTTAACCTTGTTTTTGCCACAGATCTACCTCAAGTCATTTCTTTTTCTTCTTGAGCTCCTTTTCCTCTGGTGGATGTCAAATAACAACAACTGGCATATTGTGATTGAGTATTGACAATAAAAACCATACAACTTTGAACAGGACTTCATCTGACACAATCTTTTGTAACTGCCCGGAATTAACTTCATATTGTTGCTAATTGTTAAAAGCCTTTTGTTGCTGATATATATATAGACGAGTTCTTAATATGAACTTGGTAATGAACCAAAATCGAGTTCTCATTTGCGGTCTTTGTTATTTTCAGACCAAGAATAGGGAAGAGAAAATTCAGTGTCATCCCGTGAATTAGTGAATTAGGCAGGATCTTTTTTTATTTAGAATAAGAAGCAGTGGATCAATTGCCCCTTGTGCTTTGGTCTAGTGGTAAGATTGCAGCTTGTCATGTGTTATTGGCCCTCGGATTTCTCGGTTATGGAAAAAAAGTGGTGTGTCAATTTTCGAAAATCTTATTGTAAATGTGAAATACTTATAGGATCCTTGAATAACTGAATTTTTCATTGTGGAAATGACTTAATTATTCAATATCTTGTGTTTCATAATCACTGAAGGCAATATAATCCACAAACACTCATCTGCATGCGCGCGCGCACACACTTTGTATAAGTATTATGGAGGGAAGTTGCTACTTACATTGCTTATCATCAAAAACATACAGGTGGAGATGCTCATAACGGAGATGGAAAATCACCTGCAGGAGTATTTGTTATCTGAAAGCCATTGTTGTAGCTTGTTCATGACGAAGCAAGTTGTTTTCTGGCAAAATAACAAGCGGCCACTCAGATCTGTGAAATATCATGCTTCAGTTAGTAGAATGGGAAGCTTGGGAAAGTGGTGTAATTCTGAGTTTTCTCTTGGAACTTAGTGATTTACAGTTGTTTTTTCCCTTCTCCTCTCTCATGTAGTCCGTTAGGAGGTCGAGATCCAAGTTTAATTTGTGGTGACACTGCACCACTTATCTACTTTTGTTGCTGGGACTATGCCATGAGCTGAGTTTCACTATCTATCAACCAAATATTTATGAGTTCATGCATTTGGATGTTTGATTGATTCCACTTCAGTTTAGGCATGGGTGTTCTCAGCAAGATAACAATGTAACCAGCTTTTCTTAGTCACTGTGAAGATATGATATTTTTTATAACTTATTTAGTGATCATGCAGCTTACCTCAACTTATTTGGCACTGAGGTTTGATAGTTGTTGTGATCAAATTTGTTACCTAAAGGTGGCTATACAAACAAGTGAAAAATTACCTAAGTAGACATAGCTACAATATTTACAACATACAAGTGTAACTATTATACTTTAAAAATACCATCAAATAATCTTTTCAATGAAATGAGGTTATGTTAACCTGTTGTAAATACCTATCAAATGACATCCTTATATGCAGGAACTAGAACAAAAATTTGAGTAAATAAAGCACTGATAAGGGGAGAAGTGAGGGGTCGAATAATCTATCTTCTGCAAAATTGATGAAACCTCTTCATCTGTGATTTTAAAGGGGTTATCTTTGGTCTTGTTCTTTCTCATGTATTAGAGGAACAGATTCCATCTTGTTCTCTGGCGTACGAGGAGACTCTCGAGCATGTTGTGATAGGATGTGCCTCACATAACCATAAAATGTACACCCAACAAGCGTCACTCCACATCCCAGGGCATTCATAGCTGAGATCGGATTTTGGAATATCATCCATGAAAATGTAACAGCCACGGCAACCTGTTAAAAATGGTCCGGACCAAAGGCAACGTAAGTAGCAGGATCTTGTATTTGGTATGATTTAAAACATGAAACAAGACTGCTCGCTCTGAAACCTGAAGAGTGAAAGTGCATGTCGGTGGGGGAAAAAGGAGAGGAACTCACCTTAAGGTTTCCAGCAACATTGAAAGTGACAGCAGTCGTGGAGTGGATAACATAGAAGATAGAGAAGTTAAGGCAGAAAGCTAGCACTCCGGAGAGAAAAATAAGAAGCATGGATGGAACGACTGAAGGGAAAGTGTATAACCATTCTACAACCCCAGCTCCTTCAAAGAGTAAAGACGGCAGAGCCAGTATCATAGTTGCATAGGGAGCCATGTAGTATACTGTGTTTATACTGGAGAACAATAATAAACCAACATTAGTTACGACACATATACTAGCAGCAGCACTGAAAGCCTGTCACTCCATTGACGTTTGGTCACCTGATTTGTTATCTATAGAAGTTTTTGTTACATCTCAAGCAATACCTTTTGATTGGGACGACTACAAGGAGGGGGAGGAAGAGGTAGGTACTAACCTGTCAAATTTGTACCCATGCAACAACGACTCTGCTAGAATAGTTTTTGTAGAAGTAGCAAGGCAACCAAACAAAGCAGCGCAAAATCCTAAAGTGTTGAAACTGAGCTCAGTAATAGAAGTAAGAAGAATTCCTCCAACAATGGGAATCAAGGAAGTCCAGATCCTCCATTCAAAGCTCTTCCTCCAAACTAGCCACTGCAAAATCACTGTTCAAACATACGCAAAAAAATAAGCTAAGCAGTGATTAGGTAGAGGCCTCAGAAGGGCTTTGTGGCTCAAGCTTTACCTGTTGTAGCAGGAGTAAATGACTTTACGGTCTGCATAAAAGAGACAGGAATATATCGCAAACTTACATTCCCCAAGACTATGTTGATACAAAACACAAATGACATCGGAAAAATTCTTCTCCACTGATCTGTGGGTTCGACCACGATGAGTGGTTTAAGTTTCAGCACTTTAATTACCAGGTATGCACCAATAGCTGAGCATATGAAGTGCACGCAAGATACTGTCAAAGGAAATTTAAACACCAATTTCTGCAAAGATGAGTAGAGTACACAATCATAAGCAACGATACTGCACGAAAGCATTACACATCTCCTAAAACTGGGGTCGGAATTTGTAGAAAGGTAATGGTGGAAGAACAGTGACACTGGTGTACAAATTGAGGTCCGTTATCATTTTAGAGGCGTCGTGATTTAACTCATAGAGGAAGCCTGAAGAGAGTGAAGGTTCAAGCTAATGTTGCTCGGACTCTTCAGAAACGTGAACGGGTACGTGTGGGACCCTCTAAGAGCCAAGAGTCGCCAATGAAGCATTGGACCTTCTCAGAGGCGCAACTAGGTGGGGGTTCATGGGTTCGAACGAACCCACTAGCTTATTTGTAGACCCTATAATATTGGAAAGGGAAAATACACAAGTATCCCGTAGACTATAACCGAAATCTCAGAGACATACATTAACTAAACTAAGCTCCTATTACCCCCAAACTTATTTTTTTGGTAATTTTGTGCACCTTTTTGGTTTATGTAGTATCCAAATATCTTTCACGCGGCTCAATTGCGTGGAGTCACGGAATGTGCCACGTAAGACAAAATGTGCACAAATTTTTTTATAAAAAATAATTTCAGGATAATAGTATCTTAGTTTAGTTAAGTTGTATCTCTGGAATTTCTGTCACAGCCTACGGGATAGTTGTTCATTTTCCCTATTAGAAAATTAAATAACAATATGTATATTATCATGTGAAATTGATTTGAAACCCCAAAACTCATAATCTTGGTTCCGCCTCTGGCCATAACATAGAAGAACCCAGGTGGCAAAATCAAATCTTCTAACAAATTTCTACTTTAATGTGGCAACATTTTATTAGTTATGACGACATAAAAGAAAAGGTAACAAACGAACAATACAAAAACTAAAGATACAAAACATGTAATGAAGCACAATTTGAGATCGCAAATTAAAATCATAATGTTGTTAAAAAAAGGATACCTGAAAGATCCATTTGTTCATGATAATAACAGCAACATTGAAACCCCACCATTGAAGAATAGCAAAAATGGATCTAACAACACTCCATTGGCACAATACATTCTCCTCCATTTTTCTCTAACTATAGGCACGCCTGTAGGGCCAAATTGGGCTAAATTCGAGGTGGGTTAGAATCAAATGAGTCATCTATGAAGAACCAGAAAAGAAAATGGAAAAGAGTGAAGGAGAAAAGAAGAATTGTGTAGGGTCAATCTGTTTTCTTAGGAAATGGAAGATATAAGGACATGACACGTCTTCCTATGTTTCATCAAGTGTAGCATATATACATAATATATATATATATATACTTCCTCCGTTTCGTAAAGTGATTTGACACGAAATTTATAAATTTAAAAAAAGACTTTTGAATCTTGTGGTTTTAAATTAAATTTAGGTTGAATATATAAAATTGTTCTTTGATCTTATGATCTTAAATATGTCACATGAAATAGCTGAAATTAAAATATTACCAAAACAAGAAATAAATTATTTTTTAAAAATAAAATAGGGCAAGTATTTGAGATCATGCCACGTGTCTTTCCGTTTAACCAAAGGGTATATGTGATCAAAAATTATGACAGTAAGGGTATTTATGATCCAAAAGTATAACGAAGGATAAAAACGTACCATTTTTAAAAATTCGGGGATATATTTGACCTTTTTTCCTTATGTTTATATTGATTCAAAACGTCCTTGCGATTAATACTTTGTTTAAAATGTCCTTAAACTATGCAAAAGGAACAAAATAATCCCTATTTGTAGTTTGGTTTAAAAATATCCTTACCGTCAATATTTTGGTCCAAAAATACTTTTATTATTATTTAATGGGTAAAAAAATACTCATTTTCCAAATAAATATATTATTATCTTCTTTTCAACACATTCTTTTCTAATATTGTTTTTTTAATTAGAAAATGTTTATCTTACTTTAACTCAGGAAAAAATAAAAAATGAAAAATATCTCTTACTTTGTTATTATTATTTTCTTATCGTTATATAAATATATATAAGGGAACATGAAATTATTCTATTTTAATTGATAAAATGAGATTAAGAAGAAAATAATTTCCTACATTCTAATTCAAAAACAGTAATAATGTTATTTAATAATATTTTAATTAAAAAGAAAATATATTTTAAAAGAAAAAATGTATATATTTATTCGTAAAAAGACATTTTTGACCGATTTTATAACTATAGAGGCATTTTTAGATAAAATATTAAAAATATTAAAACAATAAATAAAAGACATTTATTTCTTAATTTAAGGATATTTTAAATCATTTTCCTTGTAACGAGGGAGCTTATTGTGAAATAGTTTGTATAGATATAACGTGCATTGTCATATGTAGGAATACATAAAAAAGTTTGAAGGCTTTATTTATAAAAGTATTCTAGGTATTCTTTTATTTTATTTAAAACAAATTTAAATTTTAAGTTTTATTTTAAATATAAGATAATATATTTATTCATGAATAAGATGGCTATTCAAAATATAGTAAAATCTCACTAAATTAATACACTATTAATTGATAATTTCTTTAAGATAATATTTTTCGTTTTCAACTTAGGTTAGTAAAAAAAATCACCTATAATCTTTAGACTATATTATAAATATATGGTGTCATTAATATTACAAATTAATAATTATAAAAAGTACAAATATATCTAAGACAATTTAGTAAAATATGAAATTCTATTGTGTTCTGCTT